TGCTCCTCTGTATTGAGTTGCCAAGTCCAGTGAATATGTAGCCAAGATAAAGGCGAGTTTGTCGCCGCGGCATTCGTCGCCGGAAAATAGTGTCTATTGTGCTTCTTCTACCTCTCGCCAAGAGCGTTGGCGTGTGTATGTTTGAGTAGTTCCAGAGCGAAGCCAACATTAGCTTTATTAGAGTATATAGATGTGGATACAGAAATATAGAATGTAGAATATATATAGAATATAGATATGACTTATTATGCATACATGCACCGTAAAGTATATACATCAGAAACTGAAAAGGGTTAATATACTTTTCATGCAGACATATATGAAGTCGAACCGGAAGAGATGGGCGCAAACTAATAAATAACCAAATGAATTAGGAGCTGCAGCTATAGTGGTCCATTTGGTCTTTGCCAAGAAGTAGTCACTACTACACAAATGATTTTAGAAGACGGTGCCCAAACATTAACGGAGGCGGTTACAAAATCCAACCGCCTCCTAAAATGCCGGGCTATTAACGGAGGCGGTCATTTTCATTTATCAAGGCGATCACGTTTGCCCGCCTCGTAAAATCGAATTACGGAGGCGGTCGTTTTAAGACAACCGCCTCAAAAAATGTTCTATTTCTGGAGGCGGTCGTCTTAAGGCAATTGCCTCCTTAAATCGATTTTTGGAGGTGGGCACACTATAAGACCCGCCTCCGAAAATCATAGCCCAGGCAAAGCCCAAGAGGCCCAGTTCCAAGCACACCTATATATACCACACTATAGGGTTTTCTGCCTTAGCCCTCTCCCTCCCTCAGCAACACGCACCGCGCTCCCTCCCTTAGCCACACGCGACGCGCCTTGCTCACATGCACGGCGCACGGCGCATCTCTTTCCCCTCGCCTCTCTGCTCGAATGGCGCATGGTGCGCTCGCCTCCCTCCCTCCTTCCATCTCCCTGCTCTAGTGCGCTCTCCTCCCTCCCTCCCTCTCCCTGCTCTGGTCCGCTCGGCTCCCTTCTCTACCCTAGCGGCGGCGGCGCATGGCCCTAGAGCGGCGGCGTGCGGTCCTCGAGGGGCGGTGATGCGGCCAGGAGCAGGCGGCAAATCCAACGAGCTCGTAGCCCCGATGAGATCCGGATCCGGTGGCTTCGCGAGATCCGGCGCGAGGAGGCGGAGGCCGACAAGATCCACACGCAAGGAGGCTTGTGGCGCTCCCCGGCGGTGGATCCAGGGCGGGCGCGCTCACCGGTGGCGGATCTAGGGGCGCCTGTCCTTTGGCGGCGGATCGAGGGTGGTGGCATCCCCCGGCAGCGGATCCAGGGTGGGCGCACTCATCGGTGGCGGATCTAGGGCGTGCCCGTCCTTCGATGGCGGATCGAGGGTGGTGGCATCCCCTGGCGGCGTATCCAGGGCGTGCCCGTCCTCCGGCGGTGGATCGAGGGTGGTGGCGTCCCCCGGCGGTGGATCGAGGGCGGGCACGACCGGATACAGGGACGGCGACGGCGATGACGCGCAGATACAGCTAGCGGCGGCGGCGGCAGCGGCGCGTGGATGGGCTCAGCGGGCCCGTAGATGGGCTCGGCGGGCCTGTGTACGAGTGTTTCTTTTTTTCGTGTTTGATTTACGGAGACGAGCAAAGCAACCGCCTCTGTAAGTCATGGATTAACCATGACCTTTGATTGGAGGCGATTGCAATGCCCGCCTCCAGAAATAAAAAAACACCCGCCTCCAATAATCATTATGTAGTAGTGAGTATAATGGAGATTTTTATTTTACTTTCTTTGATCAAACTGGTAGTTTCTAGACCTTGAGATTAGTATGGAATCTTATTTTGTTGGCCAAATACTAATATGGTAGTTTTCTCAAATTTATTTTTTATTTGATTTATTTTGTGAGATTTAGCATGGAGCCTTCCAAACATTCTTTAATTAATAATAGACCAGTGTTAAAGAAAACACTGGTCGACAGCAGCAGCTCGTGTCCTGTTCGCTTGACTGATAAGTCATGACTGAAAGTATTGTTGGCTGATTTGTTGTGAGAGAAAAATATTATTCGTTGGCTGAAAAAGTACGGTTTATAAGCCAAGCGAACAGGACGTCGGATTCTACATCTAGCTAGTACTCCCTTCGTCCAAAAAATTTAATGTTTTAGGATTTTTAGGGTAGATTAATAATCAACAGAAATTACTCATATATCCCTATTTATTGAAGGTGAAAAAATCTTTTATTGAAAGGAATATACGGAAACATGCAGATCACAATCTCAAGTTGATATGAACCTAATCTATTATCCAAAAGCTAAAACATCAAGTTTCCTGACATATTTTTTTGAATTCTAGAATATCAAGTTTTTTGGATGGAGGGAGTACATTGGATTCCCTAACTTTGTTCACTTTGAGTCCCTCACAAGGCATCAAAACAAAAGGATAGTGTACTGACTCAATAAGGATACTGTAGGACTAGATCAGGCAGATATATAACGAGGAACAGAGGAGCCTTGCTACTTATTACTAGCATGCCTTTATTAATCTTTATCTTTCGAAAATTCTGCAGCGGCCCGTTAGCTGGTTCCAAGCAAAGAATCGTCTTTTGTTTTCTTTTTCTCACCCAATAAGCAAAGAATCATCTCTGATGAGCATACAGGCACACAAAAGAAAAGTTTATCCGAACATTTGGCTAAAAAGCAAAGTTTCTGTGGACTACCACCACCAGCTACTTTTCTCACCCAATAAGCAAAGAATCATCCCTGATGAACATTTGCTTCTCTCTAGACTCTCCCTCAGACCCGTCCTCACACACGCACACAAGCACAACACTCGCTCAATCGTCGGTTCCATCTGTTTGGCTTCTATCTCCTGCTGCTGCATGCAAATTCAACATAACCGAGGTATGTAATTTAATTATTGGATCTACAATGTATGTAATAACATATGCTCATAATCATGAGAAAAACAACTACTTTGAAATTACATGCAATCTTTGGTTTGATCCGTTTTGCGTTCTACATATCTCCCTGCCACGTATTTGAGAAAAAAAAAACAACTGATTTCTGCTGCATATTCGAGAAAAAAATCTATATATGCCCTGCTACTGCATGCCAATTAAATATAACTGAGATATGCAAAGATCCCTTCCCGCGTAAGTTCAAGTTCATCGTCTTTGCTGCTATGCTCCATGTAGCTTTTGCCCATCATGGAAATCAAATGATTTGGAGAAGTGAATACATCATACGTATGTGGCATAAAATTTATGATACATGGATAATTTATATGTTCTTAAATATCCCTTCTGTCCTGAAATATGATGTATTTTTAGTTGGTCGAACTCACATTGTCATAAATTTCACAAAAGTTCTAGAAAAAAGAACAATAATATTTATGACATCAAATAATTAAGCTTCCTTAGACATATTATTATGAGATAAAACGTACCCCTTTTGATGTAATAGAAGTTAAGATTTTACTCTACAAAATTGGTCAAATAAACTTAAGATAATTTGATATAGAAAAACTGAAGATCTCTTATATTTCGGAATTGAGTGAGTAGTTTCAATTTTGTGTGTTGATCAGGTCAGCGGATGGAATAATGATCGATGGGTTAGATTCCATATATAATCGAAATGGGATCGGTCTGCTGGTCGTTGGCATCGGTATGCATGGATCATTCCCTTACAAACTGAAGCGGAGGTTGCAGCATTATTTACTGTTGAAGATACAGTTCTGGTACACCAGACAAATAATCGACCAAGCTAAGCCGAACTGACTGGCGCGGCCGGTTACTTCAATCCAATCCATCATGCGTACTGAGGTAAACCACTGAGAATTAGCAAGATCTCTCTTTTATGATGATCTCTTCACCAAGGCTCAGGTGATTCGTACACCAAAGTCGTAGCTCTCAATTTTGAAATTCATTTCTTTTTATTTTTTCAAATGTGACACGGTCTACACCAAAGTCGTAGCTCTCAATTTGTACAACAACTTTGTAGTTGATAATATTTTTATTTGAGGTTGTATGGAGTTAATTTCTCAAATTTTGAAATTTAATTTCTTTGAATTTTTCAAATGATAAAAATTTGGGCCTCTAAATGGCCTCAAATAAAAAAAATTAATCAACAACAAAGTTATAGATAATGTTCAAAGCTACAACTTTCGTGTAGACCATGTCAACATCAAAGGTTTTTTGAAAAATCTAAAATGATTGAATTTCAAAATTAGAGAACTTAAAACAAATATTTGAACCTCTAAACAATCTCAGATAAAAACATTGTCAATTATAAAGTTGTACATCTTACTTAGGACTATAACTTTAGTATAGACTATGTCAACATCTGAGTCCATTTGAAAGAATCAATTTTACAATTTTAAAATCTGGTAACTGAAAATGAATATTTGAGCCTTTAAAATATATTAAATAAAAATATTTATCAACTACCGTGTCAAGCTCTACGTAATTAACATAAAGTTTATATTCATATGAAAAAGCTATGCCATTTTATATATAAGAGAAGGGAGAGACCGAGTGATAGGTGGGCTCCACTGTCACGTTAGCGAAATCATCCAATAAACCACTTTGAAATGGTTAAGGAGGGTATTGTATCTGGCTTTAAAAGTATTTGGAAAGATATATTAGGGTACTGCCGTAGCAACTCCCCTAATATTCACAAAAAAAAATATTTGGCTACCCCAATACATATATTAAGGATACATTATTGGAGAGATGCTGGAGATGCTCAGCTATAAAATTCAGAATAAATATCTACTATACTCTTTTCATCAATTAATAGTTCCTAAATTAAATATAACGTATAGAACTTTAGCACTCTAAACTTTAATGTTTATAGTCAATGTTTAATTTAACTGTTTATTTATCCATTTGTCTTGAGTTTCTACTATTTATACTGAGCATCAACAAAAGACATCAGTTTTAATATGTAATTTTTATTTCTTACACCACACCATACTTATATGTACATAACTGCAATCAACAGTGGTAATTAAAGGCGCCTAGGGAATCAAGTACACGATGCAGAACATCAAGAAACTCTGGAATGAGTGGGAAATTCAGTTCTTGGTGCTCCTCAGTTTCACATTACAGATTTTCCTCTTTTTTACTGGCAGTCTTCGGCGGCGTAGCACCAACATGTTACTTAATTTCATAATTTGGATAGCTTACCTAGGTGCAGACTTGGTAGCAGTTTATGCCCTTGGCTTTCTTTCAAGACATGAGGATACAACTACTGTAAGTGACACTTTAAGAGGGGTCCACCAATTAGCTTTCTTTTGGGCACCTTTCCTTCTCATACATCTTGGTGGACAAGACACAATCACCGCTTTTGCCATTGAGGACAACTTTTTATGGTTGAGACATTTGCTGAATTTGATTGTTCAAGTTACCCTTGCCATCTATGTATTTTGGAAGTCCATTGATCAATACAGTCATCAACTTACAGCTTCAGGTATTTTTGTCTCTGTTACTGGAATCATCAAGTATGGGGAAAGGACAATGGCCTTAATGTATGGGAACATAAGAAACATGGGTGGTGCTCTTCAGAAAAACAAAAACACGAGTGGCTCCAATACTAATGAAGATGATGGCTCTCATATCACTGAAAATGTGGAAGTGGAAGTGGTTCCAAGACTAGAGCAGACTGATGATGTTGATTATCTTGGCATTGTTTCTTTTGCTTTGCAATCAGCTCCAGGTGTCCGAGAACTCTTTGCAGGACACACCTTGCACCAAATGGAACATTACCAAAGGAGTGTACTAACATCATCTAGAATTCGCAAGGCCCACATGCCCAAGTTATTGGAGGTTGAACTTGACCTAATGTACGATTATCTCTTCACCAAGGCTCAGGTGATTCGTACAAAAGGTGGCATCGTACTTCGAAGCTTGTCTCAAATTTCTATGGTAGTCGCTTTTGTGCTCTTCCTTGTAAGTGACCATCATGGATACAGCAGGGCCGATCTTGCAATCACATACTTGTTATTTTCCGGAGCCTTTTTCCTGGAAGTTTGTGCAGTATTTTTGTTAGTGATGTCGCCATGGACTTGGTCATGGTTGAAGGCTCGAAGGTGCTGTGGGCTCGCTCATGTATGCACATCCCTCCTCTCTAGCTGTATCAGGCAGTCTAAGGGGAGGACGCTGTGGTCAAATTCCATGGGGCAGTACAACTTTCTGAGCTATGTGGGTTGCGAGAAGTCGAGGCTGTCCAAGCTAGTGAAGAGGGTGGCGAGGATGACGGCAATCCTAGTCGGAGCCAATGAAGGAAAAAAGCCATTGCTGTGGCTGAGCAAGCTGTTGGATACTGAACATATCAAGGTGGACAAGACGACAATGGAGTCTATCATACAGACAGTGTATAGATCACACAGAGATCACCCGATCAGTCTAGTGGATGCCGAATGTCCTAACATAGGCCCCTTCCTCAAATATCTGCTGCCCGACTTTGGAGCCAGTCTAGGTTATGGCATTGTGTGCTTTCACATATTCACGGAGGTATACTTACAGCACACTTTCAGAGATGATATCAGTCACTTGGTAACTGCATGCCGCAATCTGTCCAACTACATGCTCTACCTTGTGGTAACACGACCTGAAATGCTGCCTGTCAGTGGCACCACCGGACTTACCATAAAATTGTTTCTTGACAAGATCGCTCAAGAAGATTGGCACAGATTGGACCGTTTCACCAAATTGTTGAGGGCCAGAAATCTTCTGCAACAATTGTGTTTATCATCATCTGAACTTCCGGCATGCAGAGAAACGCTGGAGGAGTTAATGAGCGTCTGGACGAAGCTGCTCGTTTACTCCGCCGGCAAGTCGCGAGCAGCAGTGCATGCGACGTCGCTAAGCACAGGAGGGGAGCTCATCACCTTTGCTTGGTTGCTCATGGCGCACAAGCAGCTTGGAGATGTTGGACAACCGTATGCCTTCAATGTTGGTGCTGTTCCTCCATTATTGCCAGATTCCCCTGGGCCATCATCGTATAGAGTTTAGCAGTCTAAACTTTAATGTTTATAGTCGATGTTTAATTTAACTGTTTATTTATCCATTTGTCTTGAGTTTCTACTATTTATACTGAGCATCTACAAAAGACATCAGTTTTAATATGTACTTTTTATTTCTTACACCACACCATACTTATATGTACATAACTGCAATCAACAGTGGTAATTAAAGGCGTCTAGGGAATCAAGTACACGATGCAGAACATCAAGAAACTCTGGAATGAGTGGGAAATTCAGTTCTCGGTGCTCCTCAGTTTCACATTACATATTTTCCTCTTTTTTACTGGCAGTCTTCGGTGGCGTAGCACCAACATGTTACTTAATTTCATAATTTGGATTAGCTTACCTAGGTGCAGACTTGGTAGCAGTTTATGCCCTTGGCTTTCTTTCAAGACATGAGGATACAGCTACTGGAAGTGACACTTTAAGTGGGGTCCACCAATTAGCTTTCTTTTGGGCACCTTTCCTTCTCATACATCTTGGTGGACAAGACACAATCACCGCTTTTGCCATTGAGGACAACTTTTTATGGTTGAGACATTTGCTGAATTTGATTGTTCAAGTTACCCTTGCCATCTATGTATTTTGGAAGTCCATTGATCAATACAGTCATCAACTTACAGCTTTAGGTATTTTTATCTCTGTTACTGGAATCATCAAGTATGGGGAAAGGACAATGGCCTTAATGTATGGGAACCTAAGAAACATGGGTGGTGCTCTTCAGAAAAACAAAAACACGAGTGGCTCTCATATCACTGAAAATGTGGAAGTGGTTCCAAGACTAGAGCAGGCCGATGATGTTGATTATCTTGGCATTGTTTCTTTTGCTTTGCAATCAGCTCCAGGTGTCCGAGAACTCTTTGTAGGACACACCTTGCACCAAATGGAAGATTACCAAAGGAGTGTACTAACATCATCTAGAATTCGCAAGGCCCACATGCCCAAGTTATTGGAGGTTGAACTTGACCTAATGTACGATTATCTCTTCACCAAGGCTCAGGTGATTCGTACAAAAGGTGGCATCGTACTTCGAAGCTTGTCTCAAATTTCTATGGTAGTCGCTTTTGTGCTCTTCCTTGTAAGCGACCATCATGGATACAGCAGGGCCGATCATGCAATCACATACTTGTTATTTTCCGGAGCCTTTTTCCTAGAAGCTTGTGCAGTATTTTTGTTAGTGAAGTCGCCATGGACTTGGTCATGGTTGAAGGCTCGAAGGTGCTGTGGGCTCGCTCATGTATGCACATCCCTCCTCTCCAGCTGTATCGGGTAGTCTAAGGGGCGGACAATGGAGAAACAACAAGAAAATGATTATCCAAAACATGGCGTGTGTCCAACAGATCCAGAAAAGAGGAGACTGAGAACTCAAACATCATGAACCCTAAGACCAAACTAACCAAAGGTGGACTTGAACTTCTTCAACGAGAAGCAGATACCTCCTTCTTCTCAGATTACGCAATCACCTCTGACTGGCGATCCTAGTTCTACGAGCGACGGCTGGATCTTGTAGCTCTGCATCAGATTCGAGGGGATGGAGATGAAGGAGAGGCGCACAAGGTGGCATCTTATAGCTTGGTGGACGGAGGTGGGAAGAGCGTCGGCCATGGTGCGCTCCCTACACGAGCTTGAGTGGAGGGAGATAAAAGTAGAGGAGAGGGGGTTCACTCGGCGAGGAGGCGTGCGGGCGGCTGTGTCCCCAAAAGAGGAAAACAGGAGGGGGTCCAGTACGGGGATGAGGGCGAGGATCGAGAGCCGACAGGATGCCGGGAAAAGGGGAAGCGCACAGTGCACGAGTACGGTGGATGCGGCATAATGCCATGGTTACGCTAGAACGGGGTACTAGTGGACCCTGACATTGACGACGTTAGTAGGGCACGCGGCAATAGTGACCGGCGTGCATAACGTGGTCGAGCTGGACACAGGGCTTGGGACATGACATTCACTCAGGCTTTTCCAATCACTCCCTACTACACGAGGCTAACTTTTCCTTGTTACTCTTCTTTTCCTTCCCTTCCTTGTCCACAATATGCGCCAACCTGAGATCGTGACATACATGCTTCCTCCAAAACCACATTCTCTTGTTTATTTTGAGGGAACACTATTTTATCAACCCGTTGTGGATTTTCCGTTCGAACACTCGAATATTTCCAAGAAGAATATTTTGTATCAAGAGCGGTACGGCTGTGTAACTTGGCAAAGGTACTTGGTCAACGATCTCGATACTAGCACGTGCCGAGCAGCGTCACCATGTGGCAGTTGTTCCACAGGGGCCCTCGGTTTTGTCGCGGCACCACAAGCTATTAACCAGGCAACTGTTACCAACTTACATGCAATGAAGGCGGTGGGGTCATAGACCATAGAATCAGAGGAGTATTGCAAGGGAAGATTCAGACAACAAGGGTTCCTTTCGCAACAAAGGACAAGGAATTCAAATTCTGCAACGGATTTAATTTAAAGAGATTCAAATGTTTTGCTGGAATATCCACAATTAGTTGATACAGTGCCCTCTGTTATCCAATCATGGCTGGTCTGCTCGCACCTGAATAGTAACTTCTCTTGTAACCCACTTAACGTCATCCTTGAAAACCCTAAGCACATCTAACGAGACCTAAGGGTAGATGGACGCAATAAACACAATGAAATAAATAAAATGCACATTCCAAACGTCCTTATGCCGGTACAACATACAGGCACTCACTCTCCCATTGTCGACACATCTTCACCTTCCCTACGACCAGATGATCTCAACAACTATGGACGAAACACAACGGAAAGATTATAATACTAGAGGACAGTGTTGAAAGACACCACTCACTACGGGTACATCTTCCCAAGGAAACTAATCTACTTTGTCGGACCACACATCTTCATTCCTGGGCTCGGTGGATTCTTTTACCGCCCTGGCTATGGATCTGCCTCCTCTCTTGGCAGTGGTTGAGCGAGGGGAAGCAAGGACTCTACTTCTGACACTTCCGAAGGTGGGGGTGTAGGTGGTACTGCAACACCAGTTCTCCTTTCCGGCGGGTGGATAGGGATTCCCTCCAAGATGAAGGGATCCTGCCTTTTAGCAGTCAGCATCCTACGCTTGGCCCTGGTGACAAGGTAGGCCTCTCCCAACTGATGGGCATACCGATCTTCAGCCTCCTTAAGGGCTTCCAACATGGCCATCTCCCGATTCTCTGCGGTGCCACACTGGCATGCTCTTCAACAAGCTACACCTAGAGCATCCTGGAGAAGATCTCGGCTTCCTCGGCTCACCGAAGGCACTTCCTTAGCTCTGAGGCTTGCCGGTCATACTACTCATCCAGAGTGAGTAGGTACGTGGTCAAGTGCACCATGGTTGGGCTATCTTCTTGCGCATCCCGCCCTTGCAAAGCCTCCATGCTGTAAGGAAAATGGACCTTAGGCCCATTTACTTTGGATTTTAGTGTTTGATGACCAACACAACTAAATTGGACTAATGATTTTGCAAGTGATTGTTTTATAGTTCAATAGGGTGCAAGACATGACTTGGACGAAGGCGACGTGATGATCCGATGATCAACACCTTAAGCAAGACCCTAGGAGCACAAGAGAAGACCCAAGATATCAAGCAAAATCCAAGCACGGAGATAGGAACCAAGCCGTACGCAAGATCGCAAAGAAACGAGCTCACAGAGGTGACCGAACGCTGGCGGAAAGTGACCGGACGCTGCGATCAAGAGGCTTGACAACAGCAGGCATCAGCAGCAGCGACCGGACACTAGACCAGACGCTGGTGGCAAATCGACCGAACGTAGAACTGCAGCGTCCGATCGAGTACAGAAAGGTTCCAGAGCGGCGAAATTGCGACTGGATACGTCCGGTGGCATGTGATCGGACGCTGGCAACATCCGATCAGTTGATCGTGACTCTAACGGTCGGGACAACTGGAAGCGTCCGGTCGGGACGACTGGAAGCGTCCGGTCAGGACATGATCAGCGTCCGTTCAGTAGTAGAAAAGTGGAATTTCGTCCCCAATGGCTACTTTCTCAGTGGGGCTTATAAATACAACCCCAACCGGCCAAATGAAGTGTGTGGAGCTGAGGAAATATACCAAGGGTGTTGATACACCATTTTAGTGATCTCCACTTGCATAGTGCTTAGTGATTCATTAGGTGATTAGCGTAAGTGCTTTACCAAGTGCTTATGTTGATTAGACCACCACTTATGCGCTTGCTCTAGGTGTAGGCCTAGTGTTTAGTGAGGTTTGCATACCTCTTACCACTCGGTGCTTGCGCGCACCATTGTTGTACATCGGAGGGGCTTGTAGTCTTGCGAGATCACACCAACCACGGTTGTGATGTGGCCGCCACCGTGTACCAAAGGGAACAAGGCCCGCGGTGTTTTGGCCAAAAGCTTGATAGTGAAGACGGCGGGGAGCATCCAGGAGAGGCTTGCCGAAAGGCACGTGGGGAAGGCCCGAGGCTATCCACGGAGTTACCCGACCGGGAGCTTGGCCCTTGCGAGGGATTTCTTGTGAGGGGCTCCAGTGAGGACTAGGGGGAAGCTTGCGCGCTTCTCAATACCTTAGTAAAAATACTGGAGTCGTCGATGGGAGTTTGCATATATCTACCTTGCTCTTTAGCTTCCACATTTACATTGATTGTCTTACTCCTTTTGCGGTAGAGATAGCAACACACTAGCAAAACCATAGTTGCACATTTAGATAGTTTATCTTTTGCATAGGTTTTGCTAAGGTTTGAAAAAGAGGTCATAGTTTAGAGTTAGAATTTTAAGTTGCCTAATTCACCCCCCCCCCTCTTAGACATCACGGTCACCTACAAGTGGTATCAGAGCCGGTTGGCTCAATTTGGACATTTGGCTTAACCGCCGTTGAGCCGATGCTATTTAGAGTGGTTGGGATGGATACCTCTTGGCCTCCGCACTTTGATGGCACTAACTTCCCCTATTATAAAGTTAGAATGGCTTGCCACCTTGAGGCGATTGATTTGGGTGTTTAGAGAGTCACTCGTGACGGGATGAAAGCCATTAAGAATCCCGATAAACCCACAAAGAGTGAAGAAAAGGAAATGCATTTCAATGCTAGAGCTAAGAATTGCTTGTTTGAATCATTTAGTATGGATGTGTTTAACCAAGTGTTCACTTTAAATACGGCACATGAAATTTGGTTAAAACTTCAAGAGCTCCATGACGGCACATCCAATGTCCGTGATAAAAAATATTGTCTAACTAAACAAAATTAAGATTCCTTTAAAATGAATGATGATGAGCTTGTTCGTGATATGTATTCTCGTTTGAATCTAATTATCAATGAGCTCCATTCAATAGGATTAACAAAGCTAGATGATGCGGACATCATGAGGAAGATCATCTCCATGCTACCACAAAAGAAATATGCAAGCATCATCACCATCCTTCACAACATGGAGAACTTGAGCACCATGACCCCGGGCATAGTCATTGGCAAGATAGTGGCATTTGAAATGTCACGTAAGATGGGTCAAGACGAAGCCTCTTCATCGAGCAAAGGCAAAGCTCTCGCATGTGGCGAGAAAAAGAAGATGAAGGGCAAGCAAGTTGAGACAAGCTCAAGCTCAAGCTCCTCAAGTGAAGATGAAGAAGAAGATGAGGATGATGATGATGATGAAGATTCAAGTGAAGATGATCAATCTTCCTCCTCCACCTCCGACCTTGATGAAGAATCAATCAAACTAATCAACAAGGTGGAGAAGATGATTCAAAGGCTCAATGTCAAGGGTGTGCCCATCCAAATCCAAGACCTCATTTTCACCAATCAAAGAAATGAGCAAAGAAAGAGAGGATGCTATGGATGCGGTGAGTTGGGGCACTTTGTGGAAGTTTGTCTAAACAAGCCCACACCCAAGACAAAGAAGAAGGCATGCAAGAACCAAGCCCTCACATCAATAAGGTCATGAGATGATTCTTCAAGTGAAGAAGAACACCATCACAAGAGGCAAGGGCGCAAGCACTCATCATCAAGCTCTTCTCGTATGTGCCTTATGGCACGAGGTAACGAAAGCTCATCCTCTAGTGAGAGTGATAGTGATGATGAAATGCCTTCTTATGATGAAATTGTGCAACAAAATCTTAATTATGCTAAAGTTTGCACTAGTCAACAAAAGAAGCTCGAAAAATTAAAAGAAAAGCTAGATAGTTCACGAGAAGCATACAAAACTTTGCTTGAACAATATCAGAACTTCGCTAATCTCAATGTTGAACTATCTGCGAAAATTAAGCAACTTGAGGCTAGTGCAACAACAAATGCATGCA